ACACACTCACACACACACACTCACACACACACACTCACACACACACACACACTCACACACAGACTGTGAAAGAAGCAGACAGATGGCAGATAGACAGACAGAGAGAGAGAGAGAGAGCGAGAGAGAGAGAGAGAGGGAGAGGATAGATATCTAGACAGAGAGACGTGTATTATAAATGAATTATTGTAAATAAACTGAATATTATTATTCATCCATATTGATTATTCAGATTTATTATTATTTTAATTTGTATTTTAATTACATTTTTATTTTATTATTATGATTTTTTACTACTATTTACTGTGTTTACTATGTTTTCAATATACCATAGATATGCATGAGCTTATATATGTAAACTTCATAAATGCTTTGGTTATACACTTTAACATTTGTCATGACAATAAAGCAAATATAGAATTAAATTGAGGGATGGACGGACGGATACTATAGATGACAGACAGACAGACGGACGGATACTATAGATGGATGGACGGATGGATAGAGTGATCTCTCCAGCAGAGGGCAGAAGACAGTAATAAACCTGAACACAGAGTCAGAGAGTCACAGACAGAGTGTGTTTTATCCAAACACAACACAGTGGAAAAATACCACACACACACACACACACACACACACACACACACACACACACACACACACAAGCAGCAGTGTTCTTATCAGCAGGTGCTGAGGCTACACCACACAATACTGACCGAGAACAACACTGGTGTCCTGACCCGCTGGAGAAGGTCATCGCCATGGTGATAAGGTCAACATAAAGACATAAGCTGAGTCCCAATTTACACACGATCCATACTAAACAGAATCAAACAGAATCAGTGCCCAAACTGTAGTGAGAGGCAAAGAGCTCGCTGAAGGCTGACCACAGCGGAAAACATTTCACAAACTCAACCTCACCATGCAGCTGCGCGAAATACATCAACTCAGCTCAGAGAGATGCTCTTTTTAAGTCTATAGTATCTGCCCTCACAGCTAAAGCAAACATGCAGTGTATGTGTGTGTGTGTGTGTGTGTGTGTGTGTGTGTGTGTGTGTGTGTGTGTGTGTGTGTGTGTCAGCTGTTTGGAGTGTGTTTGGCAACAGTGTTGGTTTACTTCAGAGCGTCTGCTGTAACAGTGTAAGAGCAGATGTGATGGAAACCCTGCAGCTCGAGTGTGTCCAGTGTCCAGCTCGTCACTGCATTACACACATCTCTAGACATCCATAACCAGCTTAAAGGTTTACCACGGTTTGGAAAAGTCAGGGTGTAAAAAATGCCGTATCGTTAATAGTGCATACTCGAGCTGTCATGTTTGGGTGAAGCGTCTCTTTCATTCCTACATTAAAAGATCATTTGTACAGTGTTGATGAGGCTTTTCATGCATCTCGTATCAGGAAGAGCAGCATGAGGCTCTGGTGTTTACCGTCTGACAGTATGAGCATATGCAGATCACAGGACGGAGACGTGTTTACATTCTTCTGCTGATTCAGGACAATGCTCTGGCCTTCAAATTATACACACTTATAAGCATTAAAGGGCAGCCATGATGAAGATCCTCTTGTGTAAGCTGTCTGAACAGAAGTGTGTGTAGTGTGCGGAGTGCAGGACATTTATCAATTCACTGATGTTAAAATAGGATCCAAATCACTGCGATTATCAAGCCCAAATCATTCCTTTACCACCCTCAGAAATGCTGAACACTGTCGTCTACACAGACTGACTGAGACTTCCCAACTCCCTCAATTCCTCACCAGCTCTTAAAGCAGAAAAGCGGATGCCTTATAGTTCTGCATTGACGTGTTTTTCCTCAAGTCACTGCGCAAACAGAAATGACAGACTGAAAAGGTCACCATTTACCATTCATTCCCTGCGTCTCATCAGTATTTACTCCAGCTACTAACCATCATCAGTGCCATGACTAACAGACTCTGTGGAGGACATCACAGCTTCAGAAAGTCTCAAGAGTTTGCCATACATAAATCTAAATACTTACTTATTATAGATTTAGTCTTGTTTCTAGTCCAAATATCGAAAAACTCTTCATTCAAGAAGCATTTTCTAGACAAGCTCAAAACATTGTCCTGTTTTCAGGGAGTTTTGAATGAATTTTTCCTTAAAATAAGCAAAATAACCTTCAATTCCTAAACAACATTGTTTTACTAACACCACTGGCAGCTTATTTAGCTTGTGTTAAAGAAAAACTCACCACATTTTGACTCATTATTTCAGAAAGCAAAACAATATGTGTTGGTTGTCCAGAAAATGCTTCTGGATTTAATAAAATGTCAGATATTTGGATTAAAAACAAGACAGAAACTCATTTCTCTGCCTGCATGAATCCAAACATGTGTTGACTATAAGACAGACATTACATCCAGACCACCAGGGGGAGCTCATCCCACATATTTTCAACATGTCATCTCTGAAAACAGCACCATATTTCAGATATTTTGAATTAAGAAACTTCACAAAAACTTTTTTTTTTTTGCCGTGCATTAATCCAAACACGTTTACGTGAACTCTAAAACAGACAATACATCCAGTCCACAAGGGGGAGCTCTTACCTCGTCCCATTCTGAAGTGAAGGAAGGGGATTTTTCCAGCCTTCTCTTACTCATGCTGCAGTTTGACACTGACTCGCTCCGTCCAACCAATCCCACGTCTTCTTCCCCCGGCGGCGACACCAGCAGGTCAGAGTCGGATTTGGAAAGGCTGCGTGCTAGCTGGAGATCCCGCGGCGGAGGCTTCCTCCTGGTCACCGCAGGAGAGCTGCGTTTGGGCGAATCCCTGGGCTCTTTGTGCACCGTGGCGTAGATGGCTTTGGGGTCGGTGTCCTGCAGGAGGGCTTCCATGATCAGCGCCGATTTGGGAAGAGTCTCGGAAACCGGAACCTCACCGGAAATTTCCCGACAGTCCAGAACCGGCGAGGAGCCGTGAAGGAGACCAGTGAACTGCTCAGGAACGCCAGAGCTAATGTCTGAGAGAGAGAGAGAGAGAGAGAGAGAGAGAGAGAGAGAGAGAGAGAGAGAGTTAGAGTTAGAGACGGACTGTATCTGGAGTCCAGATAACATGAAACCGCCTACACTCCACTACTGTCCACTGTGTGTCTGAAACAGATCTGGGTTTGTTTTGGAGAGAGGGAAAGAAGGGAGGGACAATCACAGAAATGCAGAGAGAGGGAGAGAGGGAGGGAGAGGGGGAGAGAGAAATGGAAAGTTAGAAAGTGAACAAAATAAAAGAAAGAAAGAATAAAGAAATGAGAGAAATAAAGAAAACTCAGAGAAAAGAAAAAAGACAGACAGATAGACAGATAGAGACAAGGAGAGAGAGAGAGACAGAGAAAGAACAAGAGAAATAATGAACGAGGGATGAAGAACAAGAAAGAAAGAATAAAGAAGAGAAAGAATAAAGAACGAATGAAAAAAAAGAAAAAACAAAAAAGAAAGAAAGAACGAGAAAAAAAGAGAAAAGAAAAATAATGAGAAAAAATAGAGAATAAACGAGAGAAAGTGAAAAAGGAAAGAACAAGAGAAAAAAGAGAAAAAGAAAAAAAGAATGACAGAAAGTGAGAAAAGGAAAGAACAAGACAAAAAAAAGAATGAGAGAAAAAGATCAAGAAAATAAAGAACGAGAAAAGGTAAGAACAAGAAAAAGAAAGAGAAAAAAGAAAGAAAAAATGAGAGAAAGTGAAAAGAGGAAAGAACAACAAACGAAAGAATGAAAGAGAAAAAGAACAAGAAAAAGAAGAAAAATGAGAAAGAAAACGAGAAACAATGAGAAGAAGGAAAAGGAACGAGAGAAAGAGAAAAAATAAATAATCAATGAAGGAAAGAGCAAGAGAAATAAAAAGAGACAAAAGTAGGAATGAGAAAAAAGAAAGAGAAAGAAAGAGAAAAAATAAAGAACAAGAGAAAGAACAAGAAAACAGAAAAAACAAGAAAAAGAAAGAGAAAAAAACAAGAAAAAAAGAAAAGAAAAGAAAAGAAAAAAGAAAAGAAAAAAGCAAACATGAGAAAAGAAAAGCAAAAAAAGTGCTCTCTCACACACACACACACACACACACGCACGCACGCACACGCACACGCACACGCACGCGCACGCACACGCACACGCACGCACGCACACGCACACGCACGCGCACGCACGCGCACGCGCACGCACGCACGCACGCACGCACGCACGAACGCACGAACGCACGAACGCACGAACGCACGCACGCACGCACGCACACACACACACACACGCACGCACACACGCACGCACGCACGCACACACGCACACACACGCACACACACACATGCACACACACACACGCACACACACACACACACGCACACACACGCACACACACGCACACACAAACGCACACACACACGCACACGCACGCATGCATGCATGCACGCGCGCACGCACAATCACACACGCACGCGCGCACACACACACACACACACGTTAATTCTGTTAATTAAAGTACAGAAGCACATAACATGAATCATGCGAACCAAATCAATAAACATGATGGCAGTCGAGAGCTGTTAACCTGACGACACACTGTTTATTTATATTTAACATGAAGGAAGACAGCGAGATGAATTAAAGGTGCCCTGAAAAGACAATCTGAGAATACCCAAGCATCGTCAAATAATAAGAGTACAGTAGGTGGAAACGGGCACGCCGTGAGCCTGTTCTCGTTTAAACTCTGTAAAAGAAGTTTATCAGAGTTTATCATAAACTTACTCTGCATGTGGGACAACAGCAAAGTCAAAGCCAGCCTCACCCGAGACTACAGCAGCCATGCTATAGTGCTTGTCAGAATGCAAAATGCTGGATATACAGATTAAACATGTATTCAGCTCAAAGCAGTGATAATATCTGCAGTTTAGACCATTTTTGGTTCTGAACATGTTGACTACAGTACACACAAATATCCAAATACAGTCAGCAGTCAGCAAACACATGCTGCATACCTCAGATATCTCTGACCTATGAAGGATGAGAGCTTCATCTAAAACATCTTAATCTGTGTTCTGAAGATGAACGAAGGTCTCAGGAGTTTGGATTGACACGAGGCTCAGTGATTAATAGCAGGGCTTTTATGTGTGAGTGAAGTGATGCCTAAAGACATGACCGGTGGAGAACTGAGCTCTCCAGGCTGAGTTTGTGTAGTGTACACTCTTTACAGCTTTATGCTATACCTTCCTCCTGTGAGGTGAATATCTCGTTATCACGGGTCACAGGAAATGAATACTCCAGACACTCCGTTGCGTATTTGCTGGAGGGACATGAAGAAACAGATCCATGAGTCCAATCGCTTTCCTCATATATAGGGGACCCACCCAAAAACACACGGGCAGCTCGGGACTTCACTCTGTGTTTGCGTTCGACCCAAAACCCAACCAATGACATCAGTTTAAATCAACAAGAGCCTCTGGAGGAGATGAAGTCAGCCTCCACCCCAAGCCAAGAGCTCAGAGTTAACAGCACACACTGACAGCAGTTCTCCAGTCTGAGTTTACTTTCACAACACGTCTGATTCCAGCAGCCACACACGCCTGCTGCTTCAGTCAGAGCAGAGATCAGAACACAAGTCTACATGACACTACACCTGCTGAGACCGCAGTGGTCAGGTTTTACACGGCTAGACTAACTACCTACACCAGCCTTTACTGTTCGTTTAACGGAGGTTACGAGGCGACAACACTTGACTGAAAATGAAAAATAAATCAAATATTTGAGATTCAGTCATTTACTCATCTCGAGCATAACCGCAAGCTGCCCGCAGCTCTTATACACTACACATCTGATGAACTGAAGTAATGCCATCCAGACCACTCTGAGCCAACAGGGTCAAAGTTCACCATCAGCTGCTGCGGTCTAACAGTGTTTATTAAAGAGAGAGAGAAGCTCGTCTAAAACACACACACACACACACACACACACACACACACACACACACACACACACACACACACACAACATGAGTTTGCACTTAGGATGAAGCGTTCGTCTTCAAAACACTACAGTCAGACCTTTCCTCAAGTCTTCAATACGTCAACACATCACTCCTGCTGTGGGCCAGACATCAGAAACATGAGCGCACGCGTGTGTGTGTGCGCGTGTGTGTGTGTGTGTGTGTGCGTGCGTGTGCGTGTGTGTGTGTGTGTGTGCGTGCGTGCGTGTGCGTGTGTGTGTGTGTGTGCGTGCGTGCGTGTGCGTGTGTGTGTGCGTGTGTGTGTGTGTGTGTGTGTGTGTCAGCAGAGAGATGCTCATTCTGTGAATGTCATCATTTTTCCATGTGATGTTTTTACCTTTCTATGATAAACTCCAGTGTGGATCTGCTCTGCTCGGCTCTGCTCGGTGGTGTTCTTCATTCGTGTCGGTGTTCGTTTGACTCGGGTTAAAGTGTCTGTGTGAACTGGAAGCTTTTTATTTATTAGGGGGCGGGGTTTATTTTTTGTGCTCCTCCTCCCATCATTCTCTCACAGCAAACTAATGGTTGGAGGGGCGTGGCTAAGCATTATTCACCCAATCAGAGTCACCAGAGAAGGTCTGGAGATGGGCAGATATTGATTAAAGATTACCAAAACTAATA